AGAAGGAAATGGTGGAACTCGTTGGGCAGGCCGAGTCACGAATAATGGACACGCTCCGTAGAGAGATGGACGAACAGTCGGCTGATTTCGAGGAGTCGTTGGACAGGAGGGTCAAGGAGGAGATAGCAGAGCTAGAAGAAACGGTAATGCAGAACATTAGCGAGGCGCCACTACAGGCCACTCTGACCTTTCCTGCACATCCTTGGTACTGAACCGTTCCCCATCTTCTGGGCCCATCCTCTCCGGGGCAGATTTGTAGCACTATTGAAAGGGTGAAGTCCAGGTTAGACGAATGGTCAATTTGTATAGAAGCAAAAGTGTCTATACAGTTGAGCACTGAATCTCTAGTGGAACAACCAATCTTGAGAACTGAACGAGACTAATTATTACGTCGTCGGTATGCTAGTCACGTGGAAGTGCCAGAAGGACACTGGGGTTATATATTAAAGCAGTCAAGCAGGAGATTGAATAATTGGTTCGTACCGGGTAGTAACTAAGGGATTAAATTACTATATTGAGTTGTATACGAAGCTCCATATACAAAGGAAATATATTCTTACTTGTATAGACCTCAGTGTTGTAATTAGTATTTTTCGTATTTTGAATACGCTTTACTTTGGTGGTACGTATCAAATTCCTGAAATACATTTTTTTATTAGGCATCTTTCCTATTATTATACTAAAAGTAAAGATATCTCAACTTTACTTTATTATCTAATCTCTATATAAAAATTTACTACTACTAAATAGTGGCCACCCTTTGAGTCTCAGATCCTCAGGCATCCGTATGATCTAGAGTTATAATAGTGAGAATGGTTAGTTATATATCCTAAAATTCACTTCACTTCGATAGTAGTGACGTCACATTTGGTTGGCTAGGGACAACGAACACCTGCTGACTCATATGAGCAGACCTGGATCGTCAGCCTACCGAGAGAAGTCTCTCCCTTCAGGCTCTTTGATAGTTCCAAACGAGCTACGGACAATGACGTTGAAGCATATCTGGGCCACCACAGTGGCCCCTCTGGAAGATGGCGAGGTAACCAAAACGTTGCTGGAGGTCGTTGAGCTATCATTAAAATACAGCTCGAGACACGAGTGCCGAGAGACGATTCTGGTCAACTATTTAGTGAAAGTTGTTCAGCAAGTGGTGCAAGGCAATTTAATTTGATACAAGCAAGTTTGATTGAAAAGCTACAAAATAAGAGCCATCTCTCCATGTTGTAAAATAGATGGTAATCGATCATAAAGAAAGGCATTCGGATATCCTCCGAATTCGAAGGGTCTCTGTGCTCCGCCGGAGGAGCCGACGCATGATTCACGATTAGTGGCCCACTCTAGAATATCTTTTTTCTCATTCATTGCCACTGTTTGAAGGATACAGCCCCTCTGTTTTTCACATAAAGTGTAAAGAGGTACAAACAAATGAGGATCCAGTTATTTTTCGTCAAAGCGCCACCAGTTGAAGTTAATCAAGAAGCCAGAACCACTACCTGCAAAGACAAAGTACAAATCTTGGGTTCCTGTGGCCCCACTTATCGGACAAGTTACAGTCTTCCATGTCTGCCAGCCGCCAGTGCCTGACACAGTGCAAGTTCCAACAAGAGTGCCCGAAGTGCTCCCTAGGCGCACTTGAATTGTACCTCCGTTGGTGGCGGAAGAAACGCGAGCAGAGAAAGACTTGGCCCCGGTACCGAAGGCAACACCCTTAACCTTGATATAGTCGCCGTTGTTAATGCTACTAACGTCCATGCCGCCTTCACTGCAGACCTCCGTCTTTACACCCTGGGACCAAGCTGCTGTCTCTGCCTCCTGCTGCACATAAGGATTCAAAGTGCCAATTTGCGAGGGCCCAGCTGTCGTCATCTTAATTGTAGGAATAGTACCATCAGAGTTGTAGACAAATTTTTCAACGCATGCTGACCTCTGGTAACCTCCCCCGCCGGGCAAGGCACCATTGTGGTAGAAAAAGTATGAGTTGCCCTTGTAATCAATGATGCCTTCGTGATTTGTAAAGCTTGAGCCGGCACTTGCCATGATAACTCCTCGGTATGTCCAGGGCCCTGTGACACTAGGGGCGGTGGAATATCGGATGTCTTCGGAACAGCAATTTGCTGCGTAAGCCAGATAATAGGTGCCGTTGCGCTTGTAAAGCCTGGTAAACGGGATGCGAAGACTCAACACCTGTACGCGGTGCATCCTACAAACCTCCAGCTCTCTCTTGAGAGTCTGCAGAGCTAAGATTGAGTCGCAAATGGAATTGAAAGAATTGGAAGGAGAGAGGTTCAGAAATATAACGAAGAATTATATTATGATTTTATAATAGTAATATCTATAAAGAATTGAATACTAGCTTTAGATATAAATATGAAGGTTACAGAAGCTTTGATTAGATTCAATATCTATTATCAATTATTATTTCAAATACAGAAATATAATATACAATAGGTTTTTTCTTTTAGAAAAGTCTTTTCGATATAGAACTTGTTATTGTTCTATTTATACTATAACTCTTTTTTATACCCTTTAGCTTTCAATTATTCGAATATTATAATAATATAATACAAAGAATGCTATTATCTTCAAATTAATATTATACTCTGGGTATCAATATAGTACAACGTTTTTCTTTTAATTTTCGAATTTTCGAATTTTCCGAATTGATTTGTATATGGGTAATAGAGTTTAGGATTCGGCTCTGCCCCATTATTTTTAATAGTTTCGATTATATATATCTAATAAGAACTGGAGGATATCAAGTTTATGAAGATATATAAAAAGTTAGTTTAAAAGAGATAAAAATAGAGAAGAGTGATGTCTTTTTTTGCTATTTTATTAATAAAAGGACCTTTTGCTATATTGGAGGCAATTTGGGAGGGATAACTTTTGTTTTTATAGAAAGGGAGGGATAGCAAATTGGATTTAGGATTTTAAAAAGAGAAATTAGATATTGGAATGTTTTTAATTGGATTAGGAGTAAGGGAAAAGTGAGAAAGAAAATGTTTTAAAGGATAAAGACTATTTAATCTCTATTTGTATTCCGAATAGAGATCAGATATAACATTTCAGCATTCATTTTTACTCCTCCAAATTGAATATATCTATTATAGATATCCACTAGCAGTTATTAGATTCTTAAAGCCTAGCCATTCTAAATAATCTTGGACTGAGAAAAGGACGTTAATTAAATCAATCAATCAATCAAGCCTGGTAAACGAGAGATTATTATTAGTGCACCATTTTCGAAGATTTGGAAGAATCAAAAGACTGGGACGTAAAGCCATGGGTTGCAGACACGTATTGACTAAGGACATTGATGGGAGAAGGATTGGAGAAAATGACTTACCAAGGTGCTTCTTCAAAGGATGTCGCTCGCGACGTACTGCTACCAGTCCTTGGCCCAAAGCCAGCAACTGTGAGCGAAGTCTTCATTATACTTCCACTGTATGAGATCATATCCTGGTTCAACTTGACGTAGTACAGATCTGGATTTCCCCAGTACAAATAAGCTTGACCGTCATCATCGATGAAGACCGTCGGGTCTATCTCGTTATTCTCGATCAAAGGTTTTCCCAAGGCATCTTTGTACGGGCCTGTGATGGTGGAACTCACGGCGACTCTCACAGCCATTGCACCGGTAGTGTGGCGCATTGGGGCGTACATATAGAACTTCCCATTACGGGCAACAACTTGCGGAGCCCATGCATTGGCGTTGGCCCAGCTGAAGGTGGCCAGGCTGGCAGGAGATCCGTGATCTTGCCAGTTTGCCATGTCTGCTGTTGAGAAAAGACGCCATTCTGTCATCACGTAGGTCGTAGCGCCATCGTTGTCATGGTCAAGAAAGGCATAAACACGATCATCATAGACCATCGGTGCCGGATCTGCTGTGTAAATCGTCTGTACAAAGGGATTGTCAGCTCCAACAAGTCCAATTTTGCTCAAAAGAGGGCAGAGGAGTAGTGCGGCTGTTGCAACGCATTTCGCCTTCCATGAAATCGAATTCAATGATTGAGGCATTTTGGCGGCGCGTCAACTCCCTGAGATCCCACCGTGTCTAATGATAGTTTTGTAACTCGGAAGGATAAAAAAGCTTGCGGATACAGCTGAAACTCATAGCAAAATGTCAGTGGCATAATATATCAGGGAGTTGAAATGAAGTATGAGCAGTTTATACGAGAGCTCCACTTTTGGGCATCGTCAAATTATCCGCCGCTCCACTTTTCCTGATCTTCTCCGTTCATATTAGTCTATCCACTTCCTTAATCATTCGTTTCATACGGGGAAAAGTATGTTCATCTGAAAAATGCCTCTTGTAGAACACTCAGTATCCTTCCTCAGTGGGAACTATCACGTAAGATTTGGCACACTTGTGTCTCCATTAGGTTGAGCTAACCGCCTTCATTCCTTTCTCGGCTACAACCTAAGGAATCACCTGCTGATCTAGGTCCTGATAATGGTTAAATGGTGCAGTTAAATTAACCTTAATTATGTTTCCTAGCGAGTTACCCCGCATTGACATTCAGCCGCAACAATGAGGTTATACGCCCCAATCATGGCCCAATCTACTAACTGCCGGTGACAGTATATATCTTTTTGGTATGGGGACGAGAAGCATCGAGGTCCATCTTTAATCTACTAGTATCCGCGCCAATTGTATTCGACTTTAGGTATCAAGTTTCAACTAATGACAGTCCTTCTCCTCAAAGAACAAGAGATCTCAATGTCTGATTTACCTATCCTGTCTGGTAAGCTGCAAAATCTACAGCTTTACCTTCGGGAAACGAGTAGATCGGCAAACTCTAAAATGTGGAGCATATCATACTTCCGGGGAATACCTTGAGCGAAGTGGCTGTACGGGTATATTCAAGAATGGTCCGAAGTGATCTAACTTAGTAGACTCAGCGGTAAAATAATATCATATAACGGCCACAGTCGTGGTGCATAAAACGATTGCTTTGGCAGTTTACTCCATTCCACAACTTCTTACACCATTCTAAAAGATGCGTTCTCAATTATTCCTCGCCTTCATTGTAGGCTTCCTGGGTTCTACCGTGGATAGTCGCAATTTGGAAGTGCGTATCAGCAACGGCCTTGGTCGTACTCCTGCTTTGGGTTGGAACAGCTGGGTAACTCCCCCTTCTCACTATCCCGTACCCAGACTCACAATTACTGATTCATCCTCAGAATGCCTTTGGATGCAATGGTGCTTCAGCTTCTTCGGCAATGACTGCAGCAAACCAGTTTGTAAACCTGGGGCTCAAAAACCTTGGCTACATATACGTGAATATAGATGACTGCTGGCACACCAAGTCCCGCAACTCCTCCGGCAATCTTGTCGCCGATCCCAGTAAATGGCCTAACGGTATAGCACACACCGTCAATCAGATTCATGGTATGGGGCTTAAGTTTGGATTATATGGTGATGCGGGTACCATGACGTGCGCAGGATATCCAGGCTCCCAGGGACATGAGCAGCAAGATGCTACTTTACTAGGTAGCTGGGGGGTCGATTACGTGAGAATAATCTGCTTTACTCTCCTGTTCTCCAATTTTCTTCGAAGGGTTTGAAGCTAAATCTTACTCTTTCAGTGGAAATATGACAACTGCTACACTCCCTGCAACGGACAAGTTCCACAAACATGCTGGATTGCACGAAACTCGGAAGCTTGGTATCAGACATTCGGTAATACCTTGAAAACCGTGTTCCATACCATACTATACTCCTTGTGCTCTTGGGGAGTGGACAGTGTATGGACCTGGGGCGGATCGGTTGGGAATTCCTGGAGAGTCACTGGTGATATTCAAAACTCCTGGTCCTCGGTCTCATCGATTGCCAACACTGCGGCGGGGATCTCGAAATATTCCGGTCCTGGCAGGTTTAATGACTTGGATATGTTGGTAAGTCAAGCTGCCAAGCTTAAAGAGATTCCCTGTTACGGCTTCTCAGATTGACTGAGTATAGGAAATTGGTAATGGTGGTCTCTCCGAAGCCGAAGAGCGAGCACATTTTGGTCTTTGGGCAATCGCTAAGTCTCCATTGATTATTGGTACAAATCTCGCCAGTATAAAGTCTTCTTCCCTTGCTATAATCAAAAACGCAGTAAGTTTTTCTTCAGTGGTGTCCACTTTTCCACGTCTAACGAGATCAGGGTATAATTTCCATCAATCAAGATTCCCTTGGAAAAGCAGCTACCTATTTCACTCCATCGGGTTAGGCGGGGCCGATATCTGGACAGCTATATCCCTACTGGGCTGGGCCGCTTTCCGATGGTGTCGTGGTTGGCATCGTAGCTGCAAATGGTGCGCTCAACTATAACGTTGCACTTAGCAGTGTTCCTGGATTAGGCTCTGGCACATGGAGCTGGACAGAGTTCTACAGCGGTAAAAAAGGATCAGGAACTAGCATATCTGGATCTTTAGCAAGCCATGATATGGCTGTTTACAAGATAACAAAAAATTAGTGGAAGCGGAACGACAACTTTGGTTGTCAAGCCGACTTCAACCGGTGCCGCCCCAATCGCTACTTCTAGCAGTGGTACCGGAGCAGTCGCCCAATGTGGAAAATGCGGAGGAAGTGGTTATACTGGAAGAACCGCGTGCGCCTCACCATACACTTGCACTTATAGTAATGCGTATTACTCTCAGTGCTTGTAACCAACTTCCGGACAGGACAATATTATTGGCTTTCACTATTCGTCACTATCTCGTATATCGGTATCTCCGAGTCTGTGACCCTCAAGTAGCTTGATTCCCGTATTTCTAGCGTGCAAATACTCAAACGTATCTCTCATAGGCGTTACTATCAACGGTCTATCTGTAAAGTCACGTGAACAAGGAAGCCCTCTGAAAGTTTTCAGAAACCACGATTGGAAGATGAAAGGTCTCGTTACCGACTCACCAAGATATCTTGTGTATCAGGAATTCTCGGCGACAATATAAGTCCATCTATCCAACTACACACTGGTAAACTAGGCCTATCAAAGGAGGTGTAAGTCAAAAATTTCCAGATTAGAGTTGGATCATTACTAGAGCCAACCGTCTTTTTAGGGATAAATTCATGAAGAAACAAAAACATTATGACCTAGGCTATGATAGCTTCCATAATCACTCGCGAATGTCTCTCCAAGTACGATATCCCACCTCCGGGCCTTTCTTGGAGAATGGAGAGTTTGGCTAGTGCCCGGAGGGAATGGCCGTTGATCCTCACTAATTCTCCAAACTGGAGGGTAACCAGTAGTCGCACAGAGCAGACGAAGTTCATGCAATATAAACGAATGTATAAAATAATACCAAATGGTCACTATCCGGCAGTCACGAAGGCAGGTGTGAAATTTCTAGATATAGATACCAACACGGAAATTCAGCCTAGCAGCAAACTGCAGCAACGTTATTGCTAGGGCGCACAGTAGTTCATAAGTTCCGCCTTGACTATCCCCTGCCCGGAGCAAGACTTAACTTTTTAGTGGCAAAACCAGGTTCAAAAACAAGCATTTTTGAGGGGAAAGAGTTGCATGGAGTAGGTATGAATAATCTCCACAATGGGCCCGGCATACAGTACCGATATTCCGCCTCGAAACAGGTCGTGAGGTACCCGATTTCCCAGCGAAGATACTATTGCCAGAGACTGAATAAATATCCCACCTTTGAAAGTTAGCGGAGGATAAAGTGGAGGCCCAGGATGGCAGAGATAGAGGAGATTGTGGAAATGAGGGAACGGTACTTGAGAAGTGAAACGTCGGACGATCTAGGATTATGGATATGAGAACCATCGCACCCTCATTTCAGCGTTATCCATTGTCTCGTTGAAATGAAGGTATCCCCACATCGGCATTGATGTCTCGGTTTTCGGCCGTACTCTTAAGGATTACATTACATCACGTGGGAGACTGGAGCTTCCGATCCTTACAAGTTCCCATGCAGTTCTACGTATCCAAGCCCCGCTTTGTTCCAAACCGACAATTTCATAAGTCGTCTCGTAGCGATAAATTCCATGCTGGATGAATACATTGCATAATTGATTATTTTATGGAGAAGCTACCGAAACTAGCTTTACACACTTTTTGTATCTGATGGTTATTTTCCTTGCCCTAAATGATCGATTAGTTGTGATGGAACCTTTTCAAGGTCAAGAAAGCTTTTGGAAGATTCAATGACAGATTATGAAACTAATATGGATTGCTGAGGCTTGGAAACAGCTCTTGATCCTCTTAGTCGATTGACCACACAGTCTTTGGGTAATCAACTACTCAATGTATCTTCGGCGTACTTCTTCGGAATCCAAGTATTAATATTTGATATTACGCCCAATGAGCTGTCTTTCGAAAAGCCTTCGGGTGCACCTTCTAGTCTCTCGACTAGCACTTTCAAGAATACTGATGGCTCTGTATCAGTTCAGTTGCTTAACACTGGATCCACATCTTAGGGTGTCTCCATCACAACTACTGCTTTAACCCTGCGATTTCTTCAAAAAAAAAGTTGGTTTCCATTCCTGGGTCATGAGACGCAGTTGGATACCAGATCACGTGAAGCTACAGGCAGCCAGTATATTGTTACATATATGAGAACGGCTAGTCCGCTTACTTTTCCAATTAAGCATGCTGCAATTGCTACTTCTTTCCAGCCGTCAACTGCGTCTCGGCACGCAGGGATAGAAGTTATAGGTACTGATTGATTATGGTTTCCCGAAAAGGGAGGCTGAGTGAGTCTGCTGAAGGAGTATGTATCTTCTTGAATACCGAATTTGCATGGTTCAAGAAGTGTTGCATCGAACAAAAACTTGGTCAAACGCATTTGCATTTACTGGTGTCTTCAGACCTTCAATCAGCATGCGAGAGGGAATCAAAAGCCTTTCCTCGGTGTTTCGTATCTCTTCGATATACGGATGTCAGCAACACATCAAATGCATTTTCTTACTCTACTCTTAGTAACACAATGGCCAGCGACTGACTAAAAAATGATGCCAGCTGCTCGGAACTTCTCAAAAGCCTTCAGCCAACCCTGAATGGGATTGCTTTCCTCCTCGAAACCTGACGCTCTCAGCCTGTCTGGGCTTAGTTGTCGATCGAATTCCAACCACCAACCGACACTGTCGAGCTGTTTATTCCCCACACCAACTCCAGCGCTGACTGCTTTCGGTTTTCCATTGTCTTCAAACAGTGACCTGTATTTATCTATGTATTCGCTTGGCTTGAGTTGACATTCTTCAGCAGGACCGACACCCTGAAGACCAAACCATCCGGTGATCTTTGGCCACAGCTCGCGAAAAGTAGTCGGACTACCATGATCAACTGCATTCAGAATCCTCCCGCCACACCTATCAGAATTGAGAGAAGCATGAATCGAGATGCGGCCTAAACTCCGTGTCGAGACAGGCGTGAACAATGCATTGTACCCGCCCTCAGATCCAGGAAAGGCGACTTGAACCTTACCATAATCGGCTGGCTCACGTAGACCATGGTTGTACGCGTACAACGAAAGATATTGAGCCCAGTGTAAGGCGAGTGAGAAATTGGACCCGATTGGACTGAACCCAACAACAGCATCCGGACAAATTTCAGACCACTTCCAACTCCGATCTTTGCATGCCTTTGTAAGAACACGTCTGTATCCTGGGTATGCGACTGTTTTGGCGTATTCCGGAGACAAGTTGTGTACCATGCTTTCCTCGAGTGGTGCTGTGAAGCTACCGTTTGGAATGTAAATACCATAGCCCTGTGTACAAATCAGAAATAAAGTTTGAGCGATACAAGAGGTGACATGCCCTTGTCCCACCCATATATACAAAAGACTCGAGATTTTGACAGAGGCTGTTGACGGCTTCGGCGACCCGTTGCATCATGACGGAGTTTGTTTCGGCTTCTTTGATAAAGTCCTCGTTGATTGCGACAAAGACTGCTACAAGTGAGAAAACGTTGCCAAAAAACGAGTTCCACTTCACGTACCAGTATAGAAAACGTGCGTGATGCTACCGAAATCGTTCATACAATCCTTGAGATAAGCGGCTAAATCTTCCGATGTCCCCTCCAACAAATTGATTCCTGTCACGATCTGTAGCTCTGGCATTTTTGAGGACCCTTCTGGCCAGTGGGTGTCACTTACAAGGAGTGAGCGATTTGCTACTGCAGTAACCCTTGAAAAAACGCCGGGTTGAGGATAGCTCGAAAGAAGTTCATTCACGATTCCCCAGCCGATGAGACCAGTGGCACCGAAGATGAGTGCATGTTTCTTACGAGATGATGCCATCGGAGAAGTGAAGCACAAGAACAGAAATCAGCGGGAGAGTATAATTACCGTGGTTGTCATGTTAGAAGCTTGCCCATTTATACCTGTCCAAGGATAGGAGAGAACCGTTGATTAGAGATGTGGTTGACGTTGTCAAGCGATGGATGCGGCTTAGTTTCACCTATAAAGATTATGACTCATTCTGATTCATTCTGATTCGCACCTCTAAGCCCAAACGCGACAATCAAATCAAAACATATATCGGAATAGATTATAAATGACTTTATACAAGCAAGAACGTGAAAAGATTTAATAAAATTCTTAAAAGCAATTATCTTATTCGATTATGAATTCCATTCTTATAATAATAAAGTTAATATTCTAAATAAAGAGAAATTTAATATAAATTTATATACAAATTTTTTGATTGTATATTATGATATTAATTGTTTTTTTGTTATCAATAAATACTCATTTTATTAATAATAAATATTATTTATAAATTTTATAAATTTTTTGTTATTGAATTTTAAAGAAAAAGAAAATAAGAGTTCTAAAAAACCTAAAGATTTCAAAATATTTAAAAATTAGAGTTTCTAAAAAGATATGAGGGGATACGATGATTCTCACCTGTATATGGTGTATTCTATGAACCTTCGATTGTATAATCGGAGAGTTAAGTAGAGTTAGCTGGAGCTGGATGATAGTTGTATACTAATCGGAGGCTGTACTGGGAGTGAAGATATGCGTAGTTGATTATTGAGGGTAATCATAAAGATATTTGGAATAGAGGATTACTAGCAAAACGGAGATGAAAAACTATTCGATAGTGGAAGGGAGATAAGAATGGGATTGATATGGAACTATACTTTTATAAATCTGTATAGAGAGTAGAGCCAGAGTATATTACAGTAGAATATCTACAAAGCGGAATTAGTCTTTGAAATAGTAGATAATAAAGCTTTTATAATATAGTTGAATCTGATTGAAGTTTGTATTAGAAGTAGAATTAATATTCTTAATTTGATAAACAAAATCGATAGAATACTTTTGGGGTGCTAGTGTGTAGAGTTTTTATAATTCAATAATATATATGATCTGTAGGTATATTCGATTGGATATTTATAAATGGTGAGGGGAGTAGTAGGAAGTATATAAAGGTTAGGATAGTGTTTACTGGGGCTGGCGGGAGTATATATGAAGTAGGAGAAGAATGTTTTTAGTATTTTATCTTTGAGTGTGTAGAAGCGGTATAATAGTGAAGGAGTTTTGATATAGAAAGGATGCTTTTAGTAAGCCACACTTGATAATGCTCGATCGGTATTATAGCGATAAAGGATTTTAGATAAAGGTTAATCCTATAATATATATATATAATACGTTCTTAATATTTTATTTTCGATTACAAATTATATATTGAGAGAATGGATTTTATAAATAGAGCTTTAATTAATAAGTTGGAAATACTATAAAAAGACTATCTGATTAAAAATCTGAAATAGTAAGCCTGCAAGACATAATCGGTCTTGTTATATAAAAAAGATCCAGCAAGATAATACGAAACGGCTATTAGCCGTAAGGCATAATATATAATGATAGCAACAGTAATACTATCTATATAACTCGAGAGAATAGATGTGTATATTAGTCTATAATCGGATACTATAAAGCAGAGAATATAATAAAGGTATTAGATAGGCTTAAGAAGCAAACAGGAATAAAGACGTAAAGAAATGATTTTGGTTTTGATTGGAATTTCCGAAGATAATCATACAATAGATAGTTTAATATAATCAGAAGATTCTATAGAAGCTTAGTACTAGTAGCTTTATCACAAGTGAACTGGGGAAGTGTTTGTAGATATAGCGAATCTACTCTGTATTATAATATATTCTAGAAAGTAATTATAATATAATTCATTTCTGTATACAGCCTACGGACCATCTGCAGTCTGCCTGCAAAAGCGATCATTACCTGTGTACTCCCTATTGCCCTCTTTGGCTCCGAAGTATGATTCGATAGGCTATACAAACAACACCCAAATACAGGCCATATTCCAATCAGCACTAGAATCAAAAAATATATTGATCTAATCAGCAAGACAATTCACAATACAATACAGGAAGCTTTATCTGTCTACAAGATAACCCTGATAACCATACTCCTTATAGAAACTAATCTCCCAACTAGAATTGTTACATTAAAGCAAGCCAGATTGAGATTCGTGTTTCGACTTCAAACAATAGATATACAACACCTATTTGTAAACCAATTAAAGCTGTATATCAAAAAAAGAAAACAAAGCACAAATACACTAAAAGATTTCATCATTAGATTGCAAAGAATAGAATGAGCAATTTTTGCAATCGAATACCCTAAATTTCTATAACTACACTTTTCCCCTGAGTGTTATATTAATCCAACTAATAGTATAAGCAAAGAGAACATTGCAAAAGCATTTAAAGACTAATAAAACCTAATTCCCTAAGAAGACTATTTTATATTCTCAGATAGATTTGAATAATATAATAAATATAATTATTGTGTAGAATATAGTTTCGCAATCTATTATAGTAAATAATAGATCAACAGCAATTATAACCACATATACAAACAATCGCATATCTTTGATATCAAAACAATCAACGCGTAGTAAGGATTGAAGTACCCTCCTGAATACTATCAAACGCCTTTATTAAGGCCGAATATAATTATACATTAATAACACCTCAATGATTTAGGAAATATAAGGGAATGCTATTGATTCTTTCAATAAACCTATCATAAATACTATCAAGCAATATAACATTACAATATCACAATCAAATAATCCCCTGAACATATCAAAATAAAGAGCAACAAAACAGCCGATCGCCTTATCAATCAGGATACAATTACACCATTTGATTCTGGCCCATTGTATCTCCTCATTGTCAGCAACTCCTATTCTATTCTATATATCAATATCGATATTCAAAGAGTAAGTAGTGGAATACAAAAAGAGATCTAATCTTTAAAATATATAATATATAAAAGTCGGTATATAATATTTCGGAATCGGGGAGCCTTAAGCTTTTCTATAAAATACTATACAAACTTATAGCGATACGGATTGGATATAGTAACTTTGCAGTCTACTATACTAGATTCAATTACAAAAATAATATAAATATTTATATATATAGAATCGAGAAAAGCCCATTACATTTCTTTTGATATTCAATCAATAATCAAATACACAGTAATTAATTGTTTATATCAAATCGATTATGATCCGAATAGAATATAATAATATATATCAACTGCATCCTGTAATCACAATATAGCTTACTAACCTTCTTACCAAATCCAAATTCTATATTAGAATATATCCAAACTATATATAATTATATAAATATCAATCTGCTTTAGTACCCCGAGGACAAGCTTTCCACCCCAATCAACCTAAGATTTATACCGACCAGCCATAAACACCCCAAGCACTTTTCCAATCAATAACAATCGACTCAATCATCCGCCAACATCTGGATGATATACGAAACAAGGCTCTTTAGAATAGAATTACAAACCCTTAAACAAAACAGCCGCAGAATTGTTATGAACAGTACTGAGTGGGAAAATACTAGAGACAACAAGCCTCTGATTAGCTAACATTATATTACTATAAGCAGCTGAAACACTAGCGGCCTGTAGGCCTGCTCCTTAATACATCTAGAATACCCCTTGGGAGGTTAGATATTAGATGTTAATCACTATAAATAAATAAAATAAATAAATGAGTAAAAGCGCTTAGCCCACTCTGAGATAGCTAGGCATCTTCTTCAATTACCGGCTTTTATTCCTATAATATATCAAAATACATATAACAAAAGCTATAAAAATAGCTTTATATATTAGATTGATTGCTTATACTATATATAGATTATCAGCTTTCTCTCTAAGAAAAGCAATAATCATCTATATTCTTCCAATAATATTATCGATATGAAAATATGATATATTGATAAATATAAGCCTAGTCTAAAACAAAACAATTCAAGTAGAAATATAGGTATAAAAGGTTAATTTTATTGTATTAATAGAATAATTAATATTACTACAAAAAAAGCAATACCAATATATAAGACTATATTAATTACAATTCTTATCAAAAAAGCCGGTTTATTATTAGAGATAGTTATATTAGTGTGAGCGAAACTTGGTACTGGTCACGTGACCTCTTTCTGTAGCTAGTATTTATAGGTCTTCTTTGTGTAGTTTAGAGAAAGCAGTTAGTTTTCATCTATTTTCTTGTATGTTTGTAATGCGTTATGTAAAGCCTTCTCCTTTTCTCCTTTGTTGGAGGTGTTATGTCTTAATGACTTATTTGTGGTATTTACGAAGGATTATTTTATGATTCTATCATCTTCTATTCTTTTATATTAGTGATTTATGTAAAGAGAAGAATGTTAAAAGGTCAGGAAGTTGTATACGAATCTGAGCTTTTGAATTGCTTCAAAAAGCAGAAAGTTATTGATTTGGAAAAGTCGATAGGAAATGGGGGAACAAGGAGTTATTCAGTATTGTGGAAGAGTTGGACGACGTTAATCCGATAACAGATGGAAAGGGGGAAAAACAATCCCCCTTCCAAAACCGATCTGTGGTCTTGTACGAGCCTGAAATAGGATAATGTTATTCTTGAATGAATTATATTTTATTACTGCGAAAGGGCTACAAGAACAATTCGTGGGAATCTTTTCAATGGTACTTATAGGAATCTGGATAAACAATTTGATTTGAAAAGGAAAGTTTTTTTTCACAAAGTAAATCTAAAAAGGGTTGGGCAAGATTTATTTCTTGTACTCAGGCATAAAAAATTTTGAGTTTTTTGAGAAACCTTTTAGCCTTTCGGTATTGCTTATACCTAAGTGGAACCTGATTATTTCAAGAAACTCAAAATAGTTTATAGTGAGGTTGGAGGAGAATTGTTATTTAATCTAAATAAAAGATTACTTATAGGAAAGACCTATTCGGTTCAAAAT